TATATAAATATATAGATATATAGATATAGAAATATATATAATATATAAATATACAAATATATTTCAATACATATTTTTATAAGTATATATATATATAGATACATAAACATATAAATATATAAATATGTAAACAGACAAATATATTTCAATACATAGTTGTATAAGTATATATATATATAATACAGATACATAAATATATGAATATATAAAGATACAAATATACAAATGTAAACACAAATATATATATATATATGTATATATATATATATAAATACACACGCGTATACATATGTACATACACGTATATGTACATGCATGTGGTGAACACTATACATATGCATATACATATTTGTGTATGTCTGTATATATACATACATGCATGCATGCATTTACATGTGTGTATGTATATATATATATATGTGTGTGTGCTACCCCCCCCCATACACCCACTCTTTGTGTGTGAATCGTGTGCGATAGTCGCCATGTCCCTAAACATCTATTTAATTCGTGCAGTACTTTACGTCCCGCGTTCTGCTGTCCTTGTCATGCTTCTTCTAGTGGTGTTTTGCCGCCTGTCTCTCAATCTCTGTCTCTTTCGTTCTCTTGCTGCATTTCTCTTTGTTTAGTTTCTCTCTGTCTGTGGTCCTAACCAATACCGCAAAGCCAGGGGCTAGAGATAAATTCAGGTAAATTGACGGCTATCGTCCACTTCCATGCCTGGTCATATCTATGAAGATGTTGTTCTATATCCGGTTCATGGTATCAAGCGTAGTTTGAGAATTACATCTAACAAATATATTGTTACCATGACCATTGTCAAAAATTTCTGTGGTCATAGTCATCGTTCCCGGTAAACGCAAGTCATCATTCGTGTTTGAATATTCACACCTGTGCTTGTAAGAGTCACCAACCTACACAAACTCTCTCAATGGAATGATGGCCTTCTGAGCTAACATTTTTGTGCTCAAAAGCCTGCTGAAAGAGGATTGTTATTTTACGAGAAGTCTGAGAATGCAATCTGCTGCTTATGAACTGTGTATTGCCTCTATTGCTTTGGGTTCTTAGAAGTCGATGGTGATGTCTCTTGCCTTCTTGTTTTTCTACTAGTTGAGTTTTGAATGTTTAGCCTGGAGTTTCGCGCATCTTAAGTATATGTATCATTTAGGTCATGTCCATTCTATCGATTGTATTTTCTGAACAAATCGTCTTAGAAATTTCGCACCTAGTCAATGACAATGATGACCAGTAGGCAATCATGTGTGTCAGGGGTTTGTTGTGAATTTCTGGTATTGTGCTGAGCAGGGCTCTTCACTGTAAGCACCAGCTAACACCACATTGACATCAAAATCCGCATGCACCAGATCAAGAATTGCATGCAAACATAAAGCTACATGAGAAGCATGTTATAACATGTATCTTAAGAAGTGTGTAGCTTAAGCCAGCATACGCAATTTCCGTGCAACCCCAGATTCCCCATAGTTAAACCTTCTTCGTAAACAAAGAGTATAGTTCCGGTACACGATACACAAAAAACAATCAATGAACTGACCAGGCGTGGACACAAAGGATTTTACCATATGTGTGTGTGTATGTATATGTATGTATATACATATATATGTGTGTGTGTGTGTATGTGTATGTGACTAGATGTACTGAGAAGAAGGACGAGCGAGAGAGAGAGAGGCAAAAAGCGGGCGTGCTTGAGTCCCTCCTGGGAGAAGAAGAAGAAGAGTGTGTGTGTGTGTGTGCGCACCCCAAACAAGCAGTGCTCACATGTCTTCCGCACGTGGTATCTGAAGCATGCTGGAATGTTCGCCCCTCAATAAGCAGTGCTCACAGGTCTTTCGCATCTGAGAGCTCATGTGATATCATTTGTGTCAAGTGTGTCTCGCTCTGCCTGTCCCTTATCTACGTAGGCGGGCATCATTCTCTTTTCTCTCTCTCTCTCTCTCTCCCCCTCGGTCGCTCTCGGAGATTCGGTCGAATCCAGCATCTGTGCCACCCTGATCACACATGCAAAAACACTGCCTTGCAGGCGGCTACCACCGCGCAAGCTGCTTCGAAGGAAGGCAGTTGTGAGGGGTGCAGCGGTTCTAAAATCATGGTAGCATACTGTACCCTCTTGTCTCCCACGTGAGCAGACAGCAGTCATGGGAGATACCATGAATTGAACTTCGACAGACATGCAGACAGGGAGTCTGGAAACTGAGCCTTGTGTTCGGCAGCGGAAAAGCGTATGGATGGTGAGCTGCTTCGCAGGTGGGTCACAGCCGCCACCCGGCAGTTCCTGGACGGCGCAGTCCTCAATCTAAACCGAAGTGGATCAACAGTTTATACAGTTTATTAAATACTATACCATACTATACTATAACATAACATACTGTAGTGGACTATCTTTCTTTCTTTCGTGAGGCCTTGTGTCCGATTCAGACGCCCTTAAGCACTGAAACTTCAAGGGTGAAACGAAAAGAAAGAGCAGGGGAAGCTGCATCGCGACAAGCGAGTAGCCAGTCTTCCAGAGGGACTGCCACCAATGAAATTCCAAAGGACAGCGGGGGCCGGAGCCAGCGAAGCTCAAGGCAATGGCAATCCACTTCAGGGAAAGAGCGAGCCAACGGAGGTGGCGACGCTGAGCCTTGAGCGAAGAGGAATCCACCTGCCATAAAGGGTCACCTGCGACAGGGGGTGCAGGGCCGGCGAAGTCACATACCGGGGTCGGCGGGTTGCCTAAAATCAAACAACTTCCAGCCTCCTCCCGGAAGGATATCAAGCACAGAGCATGCCAGCGCAGCTGGCGAAGACCAGGCAGACCCGCAGGGTGACAGGGTGTGGGCACCAGGGAAGGTGCACCACATGAGGGCATGGGCCGGCCTCGTCATGAGAGGTCCGACTCCCACAAAAAGCCGCATCACACAGGAGATCAGCACGGAAGCAAAGCAAGACGCTGTGCTGTCTCTAGCAGAGGACCCTAGGCACCTCCGAAATCCACGAACGCAAGGTAGCAGGCAACACGGCATGCTAAACCACAAGAAGCTGAATACAGTTGAAGATGCATTCGTCCTCGGCGAAGTGCCAAATCTCAACCCCAACCGGGGGCAGATGGGGTGTACCCTGCCCCGGCACCGCACGACACTGCAAGTGCCCATCAGGGCGCCGCAGAAAAGGCAAGAGCGATGGATCGTTCCGCTGGATACCCTGCAGACAGAGGCACGCATGGCTACGGTAAGTGCGAAGCCGCTTAGCCGTTGAGTAGTGGACTATCATATCAGAATAACGGGATAGAGTATTACAACATACCGTAAAGTACTATAATATGCGAAACTGTAGCGTATTATAGTATACCCAAAGCCCTAATTCCTTGTGGTTCTGAACCTGAGGTCCTGCACACTTCCTCCTACTAGGAATTCCGGGCGCGGATAGCTGAGGGAAACGGGGGTTCAAAAAACCAAAGCTAAAGTATGATTACAAACCCACAACCCTAATATGGAGTAAAGGGGCTATTGCACTTAACGAAAAACCCTAATATACTCTCCCGTAATTCCTCTCCGCTGAGGCGACTCAGAGTCGAAGTCCGCTGCTGAAGCCGGGGCCCTGGGCCCGTAGCAGCTTCGGAGTACTGGAACCGACACCGGCGTATGGTAATACTATGGTATGTTATAGTATATTATGATATCTTAGAGTATATGGTATCTGGTATTTTATGGTATATGGGTTATAGTACATGATTTCAGAGTAGATGATAATAAAGTTTAGGAAATACTGTTAGAAGATCGCATGCGAAGCGATGTTGAGGCATGTTAAAGCGCTGTTTAGCGGTGGCCTTGCTTTCTGTTCCTGTCCTGAGGAACTGGCGAAAGAGGGTGTCCTTTGCTGATGAGTCAAGAAGCAACAAAGCACCTCGCTTGTCGGAGCCACTGCTTCAGAGATGACCAAAGAAGGACTCACTGGGCGCTCGGGAGGGCTGCTCTGCCACAAGAGGTGGCACCTGGCACCTTCCTGGGGTTTCCTTCGGGCGCACGTGTGAGATCGGGAGCAGGTAGAAGTAGCAGCAAAGAGAATGCAAAGCAACTCAGAGGCTACCGTCGCAACTGCTTGACCGGTCACACATCTTCGCGGCATTGTACATAAACTTATCGGGTTGCTGGCAGAGCCAAAGCAGACTTTGGTGATGCCTATGCCATGAAAAGGCTTTCGTGGCACGCAGGGGGTCTGGATCGCATTCGAAACTCTGGGGCTCGACACCCATTTAGCAGGTCCGTGTTTGTAGTCTGGGCTGACTTGCTTTCACAGGTTGGCGGCTTCACTGCCCGATCATCTGGGCCAGAACTGCCAGCACATCCGACTTGGGTCGCATGTCGGGCTCGCTCTTGTTGTCCTCCTTGTCCGGTGTGCTGGCACTCGGGAAGTTCGCGACATGGGCTGAGTGAAGTTACAACTACGCGGGCCGTTTCTTTTGGCTCCTTTAGCTTTGACTGATGCAACGAGCTGTTGCATGGCCCATGTGCTTGAAAGGCTCTAATGCATTTCCGCGGCACTAACACATGGCTGACTGGTGCCATTGACATTGCAATGCCAAGGTCATGTGCAGCCACAGCCACACGATGGTGACGAGCCTGCATGGCATAGGAACTCGAAGAACCGGGGAGCTGCAAGCGCCATGGAGTACTGGGGTCTTTCAAATCCTTCCGGGCCTCGCCAGGCGATGCAAAGTTTAGAGAGCTGATGTCCGCAAGCACTCACTACAGATGCTACCCTTGCACGCAGAATCATCTGTCCACGTTGGGGCCAGCTGCGATTGCCACCCTTCTGCCATGCGCTGCCCATCCCGGGAACCCTATCGCAGGTATCATATTGTGCATAATACAACACAATATAACGTAATATAAGTTAACATATATATATAATCTACATATACAGATATACATACATACATATTATATATATACACACACATATACATATTCCTATCGCAGCTTTTGCGCAGTTTTGACAGCCGGCAGGTCCCCGACAGCTTGGCCGGTCAGGAGCCTGGGTGCCGATCTGAGGTCCCACAGGGGTTGTTGACTCATCGTAGCCTATATCGGGTTACATTATGTAATGCGGGTTTAGGGTTTAGGGTTGAATGATGTGTAGATTATTTTATGTTGTGTTGCACAGTACTATACTATATTGTGTTGCATCATATTGCATTATATCTTTATGGCATCGTCTGAAACTATCTTGCAGCGTCTCCAGGGATATGGTTCTTGCTTGCTTTCGGTACCTCAGCCGAAAAGTCTGTGCTGCGCATATAACATAAGATAGAAAGCTACCTTGCACTACGACCTAGTATAGCATAACATGCTATGACCTGGTATACAGACTGCAGATGATTATTTGGGGGCCTTCAGGTGCAGTCGGACACTTTGGTGTAGCATTCTATGTGTGCTAGGGAGTGGAAGCTGCATGTCGTCTTCATGTTACCGCTACCACTGAGGCACCCATCGAAGCTGCAGATGATGCTGGAGAGCAGCAGTGGCCTCCAGCCCACGAGCCTGCATGGAAGGCCGCTGAGTGGACAAATCACAGATAGCCGCTGGTCAAGCGGCGGGTATACCAGAAGCTTGCATGAGCAGGATGCATGCTGTGAAAGTCCGGATTCACACAGATCGCGAAGGGTATAATTTGCCGATGTGTGCCAACTTTCCGGAAGTATAATCTTGACACTGTGCTGCTCAGCCTCGGCAGCTGATTCTGCAGGCAGATTCGCTACAGCCAGATCAGCTTGCCTCAGACGACCGGGTCCGCTAAAGACTTGTTCGAACATGGAAGGTTGTAGCTTCTTCGGCAGAGGACGAGAGTGTTAGGTATAGGAGTTTAGGGGTCACTGGGATCCATTGAGACAGCAGCACATGCCTCCCTCCGGCGGGATTCAAGATCAGGAGCACAACCAAAATGCTTCCCTCAAGTGTTTGCGGAATTCAATCATTTCGAGGCAACAGTGCGGCAAATATATGGGACCTTACAATTACAATGGATCCGGCTTGCCGGTTAGCGGTGCCGGCAAATACCCCCGGACACACAATCTGTGCGAGCGGCGTCCCGGGAACCTCTTGTCGCGAGCTCCTCGCGGGTTCTACGTAAGCAGCGCCGACTGTGTACCGCATTCTTTGCAGAACATGTGGAAAAAAACAGTAAATTGTGAGCCCTAGAGCAGCTGTCAACTCTGGCATAGCGGCCAGGCCGAAGAGGAATCGACCTTTGAATCGAGCACTGGAGCTCATGGAAGGAGCGAAAAGAGGGGGCTGAATTTTACAAGTCACTCCGTAGAGGCCTTAGAGTCTATAGGTGGTGCGAGTCTTTACTTGCATCTACAGGTAGAATCTAGGAACCTTGGGACCAGGGAGACTGGAGAAGGAGGAGGGCTCTCAAGAGGTTTGACTGTAACGGACCATCCTTGCACTCAGCACTGCTACGGGAGTGTCTGCTATGCAAATGCCTGGTCTCTAGCCATCCGTCATCTTCTGCTTCAGCGGCCGGGAGCGCTTGTCTTGAAATGTCTTGTCCAGCGTTGCGTTGAAGTTCCGAAGTAGGCCTCACCAGGGTGACCGAAGAGTTCCTGGCCTGAGACCCTCCTTTCCACGACACTGAAACTTGAAAAGCGTTTTCAGTGGAGAAGCTCACGGAAGCTGCAGTGATCACGATCCTGAGGAGCGGCCGCAATTTTGTGTGGTATTGCGAGGGCCTCAGGGAACGGAGCGGGGCGACGGCATGCAGCCAGTGAGACGGGCACTATTATGCCTGGTGGTGCATTGGGGTGCCATGATTGCCGTGCCACAACCTGAGTAGCCCTCAACCCCAACACCTGAAACCTGCTTGGAGCGTCAACCTCAATGCACGGCAACCCTGGATAGGTGTCGTTGTTATTTTGTCGTCTACGGGCCATGCAATGCAATTTACTTCCTTCGGACAGCTATTGGCTCTCTCAAATTAAAACACTCAGAGACCCCAGGCTAGAATGTCGTGGCTTGTGAGTTTGAGAAGGAAGAGATTCGAGAGTGCGCAATTGACTCTGCCTTGCACTGGGATTTTGGCCCAAAGATAATGTACCTGAACTGTTAGGACACCTACCGAAGCGGGCCTTCAACCTAGGACCTAGCATAGTTTGCACCATTCACGGACATTTGCACTTTACATACCTGTCAAGCTGAATCAAGCTATTCATGCGCATCTGCATTTTGCTCACGTGTGTTACCCAATCGATTGGATTGCGGCTTCATGGACCATGGGAAGCCTGTTAATGGACCGAATCGCTGCCGCCTAGCTCCGCAGCGGTTCGTGCAGCGATTGATTCACAGGCCATCTTTTCCATCCTTCGGGAGCTGCTGGAAGTTCATGTTGCACAGCTCCCGGTCCAGCAGGTGACTATCAAACAGATCGGCATCCCGTTATCCACGGACTGCTTCGGTTCTCTTTCGATGTAGGGGCAGCCTCGCGAACATCGTAATTCGAACTATGATAATCGTTATGACTGACAGCCTTATCATAAACCACATGGCTGCCACTACTGCTATTGCTCGAACCGTGCTCGTGCGCTCGTCGCGACACATCAAGATGCTCCTGCTCCCGCTGCTGCTTCATCAGCAGCAACACGACGACTACCGCTATCCCTACCCCTACACCCGCCACCACCACCACCACCACCACCAGCACGCCTCCTCCTTTGCCTGGGCCTCTGCCTCCTCCGACTACTACTGCTACTACACCCGCTGCTACTACCTCTACGACGACCAGTCTTACTCCTCCTTCGACTCCTACTTCTCGTCCTCCTCCTACTGTTACTCCTCCTAATCATCATCCTGCTGCTGCTACTCCTACGACGGCGAGGACTACTACTGTGGCTGCAATTACTCGTAGCTGCTGTGTTACGATCAAGATGACAACGACGACGATGCCGACCAGCTCTACTGATGTTGCATGCTCCGCATCGCTTGCTGCTTTCACTGCGAACATTGTCTGTGTGTGTGTGTGCCCTGAGCTCTTATTTTCAATCAGCCTGCAATGCTGCAACCCTCCACCGTGCACACAGCTGTCCCCGTTCCGTCATGGAGAGGCCGGCGAGGCCTGACAGAGCGAGTGCTGGACATGGCAACCATCGATAGTACCTTGGTCAGATCTTGTCTCGTTCCCTTAGGACCAGAGCATGAACAGTTTGGCGTGGAATGGAGAGAAGGTGTGCTCAGCTCGCATGAGTGCTTGAGTTTAAGAAATTCAGGCACCAAGAAGAAGTACATCTGCGGCTTCACAGTCCATGATGCAAAAGAGCTGAGCCAGGACTTTTCGCATGTCCGTAACAGAAGTTGGCGGAACCCGTGGGTCTTCTTTTTTGTTTGCAGCCTTGTACAGCCATAGCCCATAAACGCTTTCAGTTCTGTGGCGCATCAAGTGTGGCCAATTCTTCAAGTAGTCTGTGCGAACTGTCCGTCGTATGTTACGGAGAGAAGGCTAGCTAACGCTTACAATACTTCGATATCTCCACGTTTCGCACGCCCTCTTGCACCTTCTGTCCGATCTGTCACAGGTTGTGACCGAAGCACGATTACAATTAACAGGTACATAGAATTTAGAGCTATTCTAGAAAGAAGCCTTTGCCAGTTTTGAGAAGAAGAAGATGATGATGCCTGTGATGATTTTGTTTCAGTCGGGCAAGTGGTTCCTCTTATACTGTGTTTGCAATCGGGAAGTTATGGTAACCCGTGGACATGGTTATCAGTTATCAGCGATTGGCTTGTCTAGCATCGGACCGGACAAAAGCCGCTGCAGCCGAATATATATAATATATATATATACAATAGACAGCGTGTAGCTCGTGTTTGAGTTTTGAGGCAGCAAACATCACCTGCAGCGCCTCTGTGAGCCAGGACGGAACGGCCGTGGATCCTCTGGTCGTGGCTCGCTGTTTAACTAGCTTCCCGGGTATCCCGGTATCCAGTCTTTCTCCGAGGGCAGGATGTGAGCGACTGCAAGGGATTCATGGGCACTTGGGGGCTTGGGGGTGGTTCCATGTCCTCCCACGCTTTGGCTTTCCGCGCTCCGAACAAGTTGCTGATCTCCTTGAGAGCAGCCACGCAGCCCAGCCTTTGCGGGCTTTCAAGTCACGTGGGAAAAGGAATGACAACAAATGAGCTGAGTTGAGCGCTGTCGGGAGGACCAGCCTTGAATGCAGCTGTGAATGCAGCTGCAAGCATATGTTGAGTCAGCCCTGTGCTCATCTCCTCGCACCCTCTGGCACCCCACAGAGCAATCTCAGGCTTTAGAGTGGGTTTGGCACAAACTGCTTCCTTATAGTACCTGCCATCTTGCTTCACACGCAACGATGCGTGCTCACGCCATACTTATGCCACCTTCGAACAACCCACCAATGCAAACTCTGATATGCAGGAAAGCTGCATCTTGCGAATCGTCGCTATTACGCTCTACTGGGTCTCCACTGCACTCGTTTGCTATTTTATGTCTTTGGAATGGCCCCGAAGGTGCAAGCTTGTTACAAGCATGTGACCTTGTCGTCGTGGCTGGAGTCCTGAGGTAGTCCGGTGTTTGGGAAAGGACCGATGAGCGGGTTGAGAAGTGCAGCTCCGTTCTGCCGTCAGAGAAGCCTCTTATATTATAATATATTATATTATATTATATTATATTATATTGTATTATATTATATTACATCATATTGTATTATATGATATGATATGATATGATATTATATTATATCATATCATGTCATATTATATTATAATATATTTTGCTATATTATACTATATTATACTATATTATCTTATATTATATTATATTATTCTGGAGAATACCAGCGCAGTCTCAGCGAAGGGATCGTGTTAGATTTGCACTGGAGCGGGCACGCACGTGCTGCTGTTGAATTTTGGAAGGGGGCACCGCCTCACAAAATGGGAGGAGTACAAGACTGCCATGAAAAGTGGCAAGATCCAGCATTGCAAGTTCGACGAGTGGCTGGGACTGCAAAGTAGGTACAGCTGCGGTTTGGCTTGATTGCTCTTGAGACGTCGGCGCAGTTGTGTTAAGCAAGGGAGGCGCTATTCAGGCTTTTCTTGATCGGTTCAAGCCAGAACTTCAGGTCTTACATCTGGAATGACTTCTACATCACGCAGACAGAGTTCAACATGGCGTGCATTGAGTTTGAACTGCAGGCTCTGGCTTTCCCCACGAGCATCTTGAATCTTGTAAGTACGCAGCCGCAGCCATCGCAGTTCCGTGGACATCAGTCAGACTAGCGTCGAGAATCATACCAGAAGACAGAGCCCCCAATCGCTCTTTTCTGATGAATCTGCCTTGCATGCGAGAGCAGTCAGACACCATTAGCTGAGATGCAAAGGCAAAGGGGAAGGTTCTTGCTAAAGAAGCCCTCACACTTTTCCGAGACCCACGGGCTAGTTTCGCCTCCCCGAAGCTTTGCTGGACCTGTGCTAGGCCGCCAACATCTTTACCAGGAACACAGTTCTAGGCACTGGGAAGGTGCCTCGAGTCGGTAAGTGAGGCTGCATCAGCGGTGTCACGGTGTAGATGCAGGTGTAAATAGGTGGAAGCTGTTCAACTGTTCGGAGAACTGTTCGGAGCACTATTCTTGAGTCTGTGTACCTTCGTTTTGCTTCGCTGCGTGTACTTCAGGTGCAATTGGCCATGGTAAGGCAGCGACCCAACCATACCTACGTGCGGAAGCAGCATCTCGTCTGTAAACTCAGCAACAAAGCTGCTGTCGGGTTGCCACGAAATTCTAGTAACCTAGTACCGCAGGATACAGCTGACTCTGGAGCACAAGCTGACCTCAAAGCTGACGGTCACCGTGTTTTGCTACGGGGAGGCCTTCGCATCTGCTCAGAGACTCAAGCAGAGTGTACAGGGATGCTGATTGCACGGTGGCCGGGGAGCTTAACTCGCTCCCTATGCCGTGGAGGAGCAGAAGAAGAGACATATAGAGAGAGAGAGAGAGAGAGAGAGAGAGAGAGAGAGGGAGAGAAAGAGAGAGAGCGAGATAGAGAGAGACAGAGAGAACATCTTCGAGTTGCATGTTTTTGCTGATGCTTGAGAAGTCCGTCTTGCCTCTGAAGCGTGTGTTTCCATTGGCACCCAAAAGGTGGGGTGGCGCACTTGGGCGAGGGAAGGGGTCACACCGCTTCCTCCAGCCATTGAGAAAGAACGAATTATGTTCGAATTCTTTCTTCAGCCTACAGTTTGGCGCAGGGCGACAAGCCTCCAGCTCCG